CTGCTGGTGATAGAACACTTCTAGCCCCTGTCCCTTCCCAGAGCTTGAGGGGTAGGGCTGAAAGTTCCAACCCTCTAATTACCCCGTCAGTTCCTCTGGTGACCAGCCCCCCTCCTGAATCTACCTAAGGGTCCACCAAGAATTACCTCCTTAGCCTAAACTCAGGGATAGTTGAAAGGGGCTCATTCTAACAAAAGTCGCTCCTGTTACTCCTATCTTTCAGGTGATTCTAAGGGTTGCAGGCATACTATGCCAGGGGCCAGGGGCAAAGACCAAATATATATTATCACACCACATCGGTATATCCCCATACCACACCACGTTCTAAGATTCCCTGGGACTTGCAATACTTTTTAGCCATCAGGGATTGAAGAAAAAGTCTCTCATGCCATTCTATCTTTAGACTAGAGTGTTTGAGAAGTTGTTCAAAAGACACCTGAGTTTTAACTGGGGCAGACTACCCAGTAGAAACAGTATTAGTGGTATGTCTCCAAGGTTACCCAGCCCTGGTTCAGGCCTCTCTCACTGGTTCCTGCTGTACTAGAAATAAATGCTGTTTTTCTCTTTCCTTACTCCATGTTCCTAAGGACTGTCTTATGGTCTGTGATAGAAGCTTTCAGAAACCCTCCCTCTGGCCCTTTCAGTGATGAGTGCTGTGTGTGGTCTCTAGATCAGCATCCACGTTCTAGGACAGGACATCTGGTCCCAGAAGGCGGAATCGGTGAGCTGCCAAGTTGGGGAAGTGGAGTCTCATCTTGAAGTGACACCTCAGGAGCTGGGACTCCAGAATTCACCCTCTGGGCCGGGGGAGCCACTGAGCCACATGGTGAAAGAGGAGTCTGACACGGAACAGGAATTAGGTGGGGCCGTTAGCACGATGGTGTGTGGTGCACTCCTGGGGACTGTGGTCGGTGGGTCTAAGAGTGAGTTGGAAACGATAATGCTGCCCAGAGTGGGGTTATCTGTAGGAGGTTCAGAAATAGGGTATTCTACATGAATCGCTCTGGTGAGGATATCCAGAGCCTGTAATTTAAACCACGTGATCACTGGCCCACACCTTTTGGATTTTGGTTTTGAGGAAGGAGGGCAGAAAATATGGGTGGGACTGTTGGGAAGGTTGGGTGGAGTTGCAGTTTTTTTAGGGTGGTAAATGCAGCTCTTAAAATCATAGACAGTAAACAGGTACCAGTTCTAATTTGTGAAGATTTTTATCAGTGCCTCTGGAGACTGGTTGAGGAGGAATCTAGTTCTGCAAACTGCCTCTTTCTCACTTCAGCAGTGGCTGCCCCCTTGCTCCCTGCCCAGCCTGAGGAAAGGCTCCTCAGAGACCAGCCCTTCGGAGCCTCCCTTCTCCAAACCGCATCTCAGGTGAGCCGAGCTGCCCTGCCTCCCTGATCCCAGAGCGGGGAGAATTCGCAGAAATTTGGAAGAAACGAAGGTCTAGCAAGGGTAATGAGAATAACACCTGTGGCCTGAAACCCGACAGAATGTTTCCTAATTGTCATCTGGAGTAATGGAATCTGAGCCCTGGGAGAGGTTGCTGTGTGGAGGCAATCTCTTCTGTCCTTTTTCATCATCTGTGGTTTATGCCGAGAAAAGACTTTAATTTTGTCGTCTGAGCCTCTCATATAGGAGTCAGTTTGAGACTTCGATGGTTATATCTAACGTGGGACAAGTTTCTTTCCCCTTCCCACTCCATAGAGGCATAATCGACACAACAAACTGCACGTGTTGAAAGCATTTGATTTGTCAAGTGTTTTGACACATGTACACACACACAAAACCATGACCACAAACAAGGCAATACACATCTCAGTTCCCGCCAGAGATTCCTTTCCCTCTCTCCCGCCCTTCTACCTCCCACCCCCCCGGACCAATTCGGAGGCAGCCACTGCTGTTTTGTGTTACCCTACATTTGTTTGCATTTTCTAGCATTTTCTGTGAAATAGAATCATGCCATATGTCTTCTTATCCTTGTTCTGCATATAATGTATCTTTCTTGCTTGCTGCTTTTAATATTTTCTCACTGGGTTTGAACAAGTTGACTATGATACACCTTGGAATTTTTTTCTTCATGTTTCTTGTGCTTGGGGTCATTAAACTTCTTGGGTCTGTGTTTATAGTTTTCATCAAGTTTGGAAAACTGTTGGCCATTGTTTCTCTGTTTTTCTTTCTCTTTCTCCCTCATTTCCTTCTCTGAGGACTCCGAGAATGACACGTATGTGGGATGTGTATAATGATAATGTGTGTACATGTATTAGATCTGCTTATGCTGTCCTTCAGCTACTGATGCTTTCCTCTCTCATTTTCTAACTTCTGTGTTTTGTTTTGGATAGTTTCTATTTTGTCTTAAAGTTCATTAATCTTCTGTGTCTACTATGCTGTTAATCCCATCCAGTGTATTTTTCATGTCAGATGTATTTTTAATCTCTTGAAGTTTGAATTAGGGCTTTATTATATCTTTTATTTAGTGTGTTGAGAATTTCCTTCACCTTCTTGAACATACGAAATATGGTTGTAACATCTGTATTAATGTCCTTGTCCACTAAGGTGATAAACCTGTGTCAGTTTTGGTGGATGGATTGATCTCCCCATTATGAGTTGTGCTTTCCTGTTGCTTTATAGGCCCAGTAATCTTCGATCGCATGTCAAATGTTGGGACTTCTACCTTGCCAGGCTGAGTATTTCTGTATACCTATAAATGTTTTGGGCTCGGCGCTGGGATACTGTTAGGTGACTTGGACAGTCAGTCTGTTATATGGCATCGGAGGTCCTTTTAGGGTCGGACTACCTCTTCCCCACTACTGAGGCAATAACCCTCTGACAGCTCTACCTGATATCCTTTGATGCACAAGGGTATGTGCACTGTGGATGCTCGACAGAGGAGGTATTTCCTACACTGTGCAAACCCTGAGGGTTGTTCCCTCTGCTTCTGCTGAGTGGTGCTGTCCTGGCCTCTACAGGGGGCCTCTGCAGGGCTCCAGAGCTCTCATTTAGTGCATTTTCCCACTCTGGCCTTCTTTTCTGGTAACCCTATAACCCCCCAGAGCTCCTTCTGCTCACCTTGGAGGGCTGCCTGGCTCTGCCAGGGACGCCCCTCTGAGCTAATCTCGATGTTCTCTATAGGCAGTAAGCCTGGGCAACTGTAGGACTCACATGTTTCGTTTCTCCACGTGCAGGGATCTCTGCTCTGCTCTGCCTAACATGCAACATCTGAAAACCATTGTTTGGATAGTTGGTCCCCTTTCTCAGTGGCTTCAGACACAAAGATAAACCCAGTCCCTATTACTCCATCCTGGCCATAAACAGAAGTGTGTGGAGTAGGTTGATTTTGATTATCTGTTTAAAAATTCTGAAAACCTGCATTTGATAAAAATAAAAATTTCCAAGAACCTATACACTTTAATGAAAACATTGTTTCAAACCTTTGGGGAATTCTCCCTGGGATTCACCTGGTGAGGTAACAGAGAGTGCCGGGGAAGGTGGGAAAGCCAGTAGGAGGCACCGAAGGTAGGGGTGAGGATCAGGCCTGAGCTTCAGATTTCCAGGCTCCAAGATTGAAAAAGCAGAATACCACCTTTGTAACACTGTGGGTAAAGGGGCAGGGAAAGGACACATGTTTTAGTGACTCAGGGTACCTTCTTGCTTTCAGGGTACCAAGAAACCAAATTGTTAGGCAGGAGATTGCTTGGTGAAAAGTATTGGGTATTCTCTCAAATATTTTGAGCAGACTTGGAAGATTATTGTTTATTCTATAGTAAGTACAGTATATCCCTATGAAAAGTATATATAACTTATTAACATATTTTAACTAGTAGAATTAAGTGTTAATTCTATATAACATAACATTAACCATGACCTCTCCTGGATCGCTTAAAGTCAAAAGATTTAAAATGCTCACCAGCAACACCGTGTGTATGTTAAATTCCCTGTGTTTAGCAGATAACTGATTGATAGCCACTGAACCTAAACAAATAAAACATCATTCCTAACCAATCCTAATATCCTTCCCCCAAGTTAACAACTATTTGCATTAGAAGGACCTTGATAGTTAATGAATTCCTTTGTAAGTGACTGGATTTTTAATATATAAGTAATTGTTTTCCCTAATCTCTTTCATAAGTTAGGAACTTGGTGCATAATGCCAGAATAATGGAGTAGTCTCTCTACACAGTGGCACTTGGTTATTAGACACTGTGACTGAGTTAGAACCTCACACACACTTGGGGATACGTTGATTCGCCTTGCTGTGTTTTCACACTTCAGGAAAGGAACACAGTACTGAGAACTCTGCAAGTCAGTTATGGTAATGTCTTGTAAGTCCACAAGATGGTACTGTTTCCCACAAAGGCAAGATGATTTCTCATCCAATCTACTACTTCTGCCCTTCCTTCCAGAACAGGAATTTTTTCCTCCTCTTTTAAAAATGAGGAAAAGCAAGGTGGCTGCAGTTGGTGTGTTGGCTCTTAAGTAAGGGGTTTTATTCAAGCATCCTGAGCTGGTTGGCACTTCTTGATAAGTTTGTGGCTTTAAGTGGAGGTATACTGTTTAGAGACTCCTAAAGCAACTCCTGCTTCTTGATTTTGGTGACTTCGGTTGCCCTTGGGGATTTTGGTGGCTGTTTTCTTTTGTATATTTTACTGTACTTGGTAGTTTCTGTTTTGCTACCTATAGAATAAGCTTTACCCAGCAAGCCAGGCAGCCAATTAGACATTGCAGCACCTGGAATCCCCACCCTTTGCTCTGCCAGTGTCGAAGCAAGGGTTTGTGTTCTGACTGTGAGGACTGTGAACTCACATTCAGCAGTATTTGCTCAAGTGGGTACTTTTAGGAGGTTGTTAAGGTAGCTTCACTCACAGAAGACTAACTAAACTGCTAACAATTTCTAAAATGAAAACTTTAAGTTAAAACTTATTTAAAAATGTGGTTATAGCTAATAGTTAAATCCATAATTAAATATATTAAGGTCACTTTACGGAGTGGGATCATGGTGGCGCCGAGGAGCGGAGTCCCGGAGATGGGGAAGAGGAGGCAGTGAGTGCTACGACGAAAGTCTATGCGAGGGGCTGTGGCGGAGCAGCTGGTTCTGGTGGAATTGACGGGAATTATTGATTCAGACTTTCTCTCAAAATGTGAAAATAAGTGCAAGATTTTGGGAATTGACACTGAGAGGCCCATTCTGCAAGTGGACGGCTATGTCTTCACTGGAGAGTATGAAGACACTCCTGGGACCTGTATTATATTTGAAGAAAATGTTGAACATGTGGATGCAGAAGGTAACAATAAAACAGTGCTAAAATATAAATGCCATACAATGAAGAAGCTCAGCATGACAAGAACTCTTCTGACAGAAAAGAAGGAAGGAGAAGAAAACATAGGTGGTGTGGAATGGCTGCAAATCAAAGATAATGATTTCTCCTATAGACCCAACATGATGTGTAGTTTTCTACATGAAAATGAAGATGAGGAAGTAGCCCCAGCCCCAGATAAACCTCTGGAGTTGGAAGAACAAGAGATTCAAATGGAAGATAATTCAAACCTGAGTTATGAACAGGAGAAACCACCAAACTTGGAAATAGAGCATTCTGTTCCCCTTACCGATATTTCTTCTGAAACAGTTCTGTTTTTATGGAAACTCAGAATACTGCCTTAGAAATCACTCCTAAATGAAATGTTTTTTGTAATAAATAGTGATGAACTTTGAAAAGTTTTATATAAAACAATTACCTATGGAAAAAAAGTCACTTTACTTTTTACTTTTTTCACCCTAAAAATTTCAACTCCTCCTTCCTTCCTCCTCCTTCTTCCCCTCCTCCTTCCTCTTCCCCTTCCTCCCCTCTTCTTCCCCTCTTCCTCCCCTCTTCCTCCTTCCCCAGCCCTTCCTCCCCCAACCTCCTCCCCTCCCTTCTTTTGCCTTAGCGGCTGCAAGTTAAAAGACTTTCTGGGTGTCTCCACTATCTTTCAACCATTCTCACTTCCCTTGGCAGTGCTAGAACATGAATGGCTTCTCGGAGCAGTATATTATTTGTATTAATAGTAGGAAGATGACTTTATGTTCTCATTCTTGTTCTCCTCTTTTCTGCTCCCTACAGCCTAGCTGGCTGTCTATGATAGTAATTCATGGTCTCAACTTTGGGATTCCTGAAAGTGTACAAAATCCCTTAATTCTCTCTGGAAATCCTATGGTTAGTTTGAGAGGTGGAGTAGCCCACAGAGCACAGATGATGGCAATAATAATACGTATCACTTACTGAGGACTTACTTGCTAAGAGCTGGACAGGGTCTTGGGGCCTGGAGGAATACAGTGGAGAGTCCTTTTCTCATGGTGCTGTGAACTAGTGAAGCCCACCATTGATTATGTATTTTCATATGTGTGTATAAAAAAGATTGGGTATTCTGTCATACACATAATGCACATATATAGAAATATTTAATAAACTGATGAGTACTATGAATGAAGAGGACAGTGTACTCTGAAAATATATGACACTTGCATTATTTCTGTTACCTCCCAGTAATTTTTGAGTTCAGTACTATCATTATTTTTTAAGGTTTTTTAAATTTACTTTTAGAGAGAGGAAAGGAAGGAGAAGGAGAGGGGAATGAAACATCAGTGTGTGGTTGTCTCTCACACGCCCCCAACTGGGGACCTGGCCCACAACCCAGGCATGTGCCCTGACCGGCAATCAAATCGGCGACGTTTTGGTTCACAGGCCAGCACTTAATCCACTGAGCCTCACCAGCCAGGGCGGGTTCAGTACTATCATTAGATGAAGACTGAGAACTAGAAAGGTTAAGTAACTTGCTCAAGGTCACACGGCCAGGAAATGGCAGAAACCCACTTGAAACCCAGTATGTTTGACTCCAAAGACAGTGCTCTTAATCTCTCTGCTATATGATCTGAGTGTCTGACAGTTGTTTTGTTGGTGGGGAGATTAAAATTTGAATTCATGAAAGTAGATCCTACTTGGATGGCATTCCCAGTTTTGAGCCTCCAGTCTCCAGTTCCATAGGATAAGAAAGGCATGTTTGGGGCATAATTGAAGGGCACTTTGCTCTAGACAACTGATCAATTCCCCACTTGCTGGAAGGAGAACTAATTTATTGTTGGACCCTAAACTCAAAACAGTTGGGAGATGCCAAGGGTGTATGGCGGCTGCCCTTTTTCTCTGCTCTGAATCCTCCCGCCTGTTTCACAGTGAGACTTAGAGCCTATTTGACTTCAGTGTTAATTCTTCTCACTTTCTCAATGATTTACAGTTGCTTTTTCAACAAATACCTTTGTAATGTTTTTCTTTTCCCTCTTCAGTTTCCAGACTGTAATGAAATATTGGGACTGTCAGGCTCCTACTCTTCAAAGACCTCTACTTAGGCACTGAAAGAGCGAAAGAAGAGACAATGCAGAGAGGTCTCCTGCTTTCTCTCTGTTCTCCACTCTTAAGTACATGCAACTGAAAAATAATGCAGAACTTTAAACCTAAATGTTTTCTACCCAAGGCAAGAGATACTGGTGTAGGGACTGTGGTTTTCCCTTTGGTCTTTTCCCTTGAACCTCCTCCTATATGTTCTTAAATATTTTGATGCCAGGCTTCCAAGGCATGTTCCTTTCTTAGCCTCCTGTAGGCAGGGAGAGCAGGGTACAAAAACCTTCCCTGACTTCACAGCATGGTGTGTTTTCTAGGAGCCGTGGTGGCACCTGGATTCCACTCAAAAGGAGCAATACTGGGATCTCCTGCTGGAGACCTATGGGAAGATGGTCTCAGGAGGTGAGGGCACAGGCTTGCCTGATGGACGGAGGTGGAAGGAATGTGAGGCATTTTCTGTGTTGTGCTCTTAGAGATAGTGCTTTACTTGAGGTTCTGTGGGTGAAGATAGTCATCACTGACACCATTGGGATGGAGTGAGTTGGAGATAGCTTAGTCCCAGTAAGAACTTCCTGATGGCAGAAGTATTCTCTACACCAGGAACTGTCATGGGTGCATTACATGTAGTGATTCCTTTAATCCACGAAATGGGTGATGGTATTCCTGTTTCTAAGATGATGAAAGAGAGCATCAGATCAAGTCACTTGCTCATTGTTATGTAGCTGAGTTACAGTGGATCTCAGGTGTGGCTGGCTTTGAGTCCACACTCTTTAATACTAAACCATAGTCTCAACAAACTATTGGAGGGGTCTTACACCAGCCTGCCAGGTGGTCTGACTCTACCTGCCCAGATTCTTCTTTTTTGTGGTCTTCACCATACATCCTGATTATCTGGGGAGCCCTGGTATCTTAGAAGCTCCACATACCCTTGTAAGTTGAATTACCTTAAGTGGTCTCCAGAGCCTTCCATTTCCCATCACACTCAGGGCACTCCTTTGAAAAACAGCTGGGTCCCCAGTCCTTCCAGTTCATCAAGGCCCACATGTTATCTCTTTCTCTGTACCAGGTATTTCCAATTCCAAGCCTGACCTGACTAATTCAACAGAGTACGGGGAGGAACTGGCAGGATTGCACCTTTATGTCAGTGAGAAGCTCCCAAAACCCACCTGCATAGGTGAGTAATCTTCCATTGGTCAGAGCCATTTCTGGTCTCCTGTCATTACATTGCAGGGGATGAGGGACATATTAGGACTTGGGACTTGGCTATGACTAGCTATGTCTGGTTTGTTTAGTCAGTCAGGTCTCCTTAATCTCTGGCCAAAGGGCTGTTGATCGCGGAAGAAAGACTGCACCTCAGATCTGCTGCCTTCAGTCTTATTTGTTGTGACAGGCTTCTTTCTCAGAGAGTTACAGTGAGTACAGATTGAGACCAATACAGATAGGGGTAGATTCCATTACAAAAAAAGATTATGTAACAGCCATTATTATCCTTCCTCTTGTTTGAGGGTTCAGAGTAATTAGATTTTCCTTACTCTGGTTATAGTGAATACTAACCAGCTCACCCTCAACAAAAGAAAATAAAACAAACAGAAAGTAAAACATGGTTTAGCTAATCTTGATGCACGTCTCATTAGATAGCAGGAACAAGAAATACCACATACAATACACTCCCGTGCATAATGTGCACCCACATTACATGGAATTATTATACTCATGGTGTGCAATATATACTCCCATGTATAATGCACATCCTTATTTTTTCCCTCAAAAATCTGGGCAAAAAGGTGTGCATTATACACGGCAAAATATGGTGCTTCATATAAATCATGTATTTAGGACTGGGGAAGAAGAAATACGAACTTGTTCTGTTGTAACATAGCAATCACTCTTTGCCTTCTACATTCTTTTAAAATACTGTGGTTATGTGAAACCTTTTTGTCAAACCTCCCTGGACACACACATGTTTACATTTACAAAAGATCCTAGAATCTTGAAGGAAGAAAGGATGAAGGATGTGAACTGTGTGACAAATCATTCTTTCTCTCCAGTAGGGTTCAGTTATTTTCCTTTGCTAATATACTACAGAGAGCAAGCATTGAATGAGACATGTGATTTTAACTTTAAGCAATATAGTTATAACACTATTTCACAAGGATTTCTTTGGAGTATTACTTTTTAGACTGCATTTCATGATCAATTAATGTATTGTGAAATCATTTTATAGGTTACAACCATCATAAAAAATGAAATGATAAGATTAAATAGAAAATATCAGGATGCAAATAGAAAATATCAGATGTCAGGGTAGGTAGGTAGTATTTCAGGAAATTTTTGTTCTAAATATATGTGTATATACTATATTTCAATACAAACATATTTCTTACTATGGGTAGCAGGCAAAAAAGTTTGAAGATACTGCTTTAGAGGTTGTTGTAGTAGGAATTTTGTTTTAATAGACTTTATTTTTTAGAGCAGTTTTATGTTCACAGCAAAATTGAGTGGAAGGTACAGAGATTTTTCCACACGCTCCTTGCAGTAGGATTCTATTTGTGATATATATAGCTCACTATACCCCCTACCCCACTCATTTCATTCTTTTTTCTTCTCCCTTCATCCATGTGCTAACATGGCCCACTACAGCTTACCTTGAACCAGACTGTACAGAATCTACCAAGCCAGCTGGCCTTGATAAGAGAAACTTATGCCGTTGTAGGTCTTGAGGAAGGATGTATGGAAAGAGGTTGAGGACGGGGCAATATGCAGGGAGGCCTGGGAGGGAACTGCTAGAGGAAAGGAGCTTTGTAGGAAGTCGATGTAGGAGTCCAGAGGTGCGGGGATGACGCCCTGGACTCATGGGAAGCAACAATGAAAAGATGGAACAGGACTGACTGGTTCAGTCTAAAAGATACAGCAGTTTTGGACTCAGACCAGGGTACGAAAGTCAGAGGGCAAGGAGCATGTATACGCTATTGTATTTGACCACATGGAGCACAGTTCCTAGTTAGAACAGGCCAGGGGAGGAATAATCCTGAAAAAGCCACATACTCATATCTCTAATCAAAATCCCAAGGAATTAAAAAAATTGTTTGGAAGAATGATTCTTAAGTAGTTATCTGGAGTAATACTGCCAGAATAGTAAAAAGTGTTGAAAGAAGAATGTGTCATCAGTATTAGATGTGTAAATGTTAAGAATCTGTCATTTAAAATAGATAAAATCATTAAAATAATGGGATAGTGATGTACAAATAGATACACAGACTAATGGATCAGAAAGGGAAGCCGAGGGGGAGAAGCTGGTATGCACAG